ATTGTCATACTACAAAAGTGACACGTACCTCACGTGACTCACTACAACCACCTGTTCTCTGCTCTTTTACCATGTGTTCTCTGCTGGTTCACCACATGCTCTCTGCTCTTTTACTACCTGTTCTCTGCTGTTTTACCACCTGTTCTCAGAGGTTTAACCACCTGCTGTCTACTGGTTCACAGCCTGCTCTCTATTGTTTTACCACCTGCTCTCTGTTGTTTTACCATCTGCTCTCTGCTGGTTCACCACCTGTTCTCTGCTGTTTTACCTCCTGTTCTCTGCTGTTTTACCTCCTGTTCTCTGAGGTTTAACCACCTGCTGTCTACTGGTTCACCGCCTGCTCTCTATTGTTTTACCACCTGCTCTATTTTACCATCTGCTCTCTACTGGTTCACCACCTGCTCTCTGCTATTTTACCACCTGTTCTCTGTTGTTTCACCACCTGTTCTCTGCTGTTTTACCACCTGCTCTCTACTGTTTTACCACCTGTTCTGTAGTTTTACCGCCTGCTCTCTGAGGTTTTACCACCTGCTCTCTGAGGTTTTACCACCTGTTCTCCGACACAAGGCTGTGTGCTGAAGGCTGTCTGTGTTCAAGTGGTGGAAGCCAAACTCACATGCAGTAAAATTCCAAATCAAAAGAAAAAGCAGAAGACAGTTCTGTGGAGGGCTGAAAAAGTGACCGATGGAAGCTGAAGAGAGACCCTGCATCAGACTGCAGGGTTGCTACCTGCACGTCCATCTTCATCTGTTGCTGAGGCGACAGTCTGAGCAGGGGAGGGGCTAGAGTGCCGCTGGCGCCTCATGAAAGGAAACACACTGAGGAATGAGAGAGAGAAAGATGGAACTGAGTTTGAGGAACAAACAGATGTTTTTATTTGTGAGCAGAATGAAAGTGAAGCGTTACCCTTTCTTGCTCTCCTGGGGAATGATGGCTCTGGCCAGCAGGTTTCTGTACAGGTCCGACTTTAAATACCGGGGATAAGAGTCCTGGACACAAACATCAGTTTATTATTCCTTCAGAGTGTGTCTGTGTGTTTGTAGCATCAGCAAATTATCCCATTAAAACAGTTTTTTTATGGCTTGTACCTGCAGTTCTCAACACAAGGTGGTCTTCAATAAAACAGCCATAAGACGTGGTGGGAAATATGTATTCAATCAAAAGGCTGTGACTTGAATTTGTTTTGTTTCAAAATGTTGTGAAGTCTAACACACATGAAAGGCACTGATGTGAACATGCGTTAAAAATAAAGTTCAGGTCAGAGGCGAGCAGCTGCACCTTCTTCATGAGGAAATAGATGTGCATCTGAGCATCATCCAGGACGAAGCGGTGTGGCTGTTTGATCCCCTCTAAAGTTTTAGCCATCGTCTTACTGTCGATGTTGACCCAACGAGCCGCTCCAGGAGCCAGGAAGTTTCTGGGTGTCAGGAAAGACGAGGAAAGTGAGGTGCGAGTCCGAAGGTTTGGGTTCTTGTTCTGCACACTTACTTGTAGACGTCTTCCACTTTCTGTGGGATTTTTGAGTTTTCTCCGTGTCGAATGTCCTCACAGGCCTCCCAGAAACACAGGTTCTCCGCTGTGAACACAGACGTTCAGACAGTGACTCGCTGAGCCTCGGAGGATAACCCTGAACTAATCCCTCTTTTTCCTTTTATTCTGCTCTCTTTCCTGTATCGTCTCTCCTCATTATTTATCTTGTCTTTAAAGTCTTAAACCTTGGGAACTCATCCTTTTGTGTATCTGTTACATTTCTTACTATCAGAAAATCACAGCGGAGGAGAAACTTTGAAAATGGTTCAGGATGAAAAGGCTTTAAAAAGTGTTATGAGCAACTTTATTCTCCTGTCTCAAAACGTAGTAGATAATAATCAGTTTGTCCCACGACATGATGTGCATAAAGGACGAACGTCTGGTCTCTCACCGCTGAACTCTTTCTCCAGGTACGCCATGAACTCTTGCCTCCCCATGGCATCAGAAAGAAGCTCCATGAAGCTGAAGCTCCAGCTCTCCACTCGGAGGCGTGTGGGAACAGGAACGCTGCACCGAGAAACAAACACGTCACAGCGTCTGAACAGAAACCTCTGCCAGACAATTTATTCCTGTAAAGAACCACTTTAATATTTTATACATTAACACGACTGCCGATGTCTCTCAGGCTGAAAACCTCATGAACACGGAACAAAAAGATGATTAAATCATATTCAAACTGCTTGTGACGTTCTGAAGAAAAACTTATTCCAGTTAGCGGACTGCAAAGTATTGTGTGGGTACAACTTCCAGACATAAATATTTAGTACTTTAAAATTAGTTGTATAACCTTGTAAAATACATTTATAATTTGTTCATGCGTAGATAGGAATTTGTGTGTAAAAATATTTGTATTAGAAAAACATAATTACACAAGTTACAAACCTTTTTTGCGAAGGTCTGTTTACAGATACGAAGCCAAAAAACTAAATGTAAAACAAATCGTGAGTTTCATTTTAAAAGTATGAATTATGACCAGATTTTTCTTCCTCTCAGCTGATTGGTCAATGTCATGTCAATCACAAATTTAACAAACCAATCAGAGAACAGATGGGTTGGACTGCCAGGGGGTGGAGCTTGTGTCAGTCCTGGAATAGATTTACTTTATGATTTAGTGGGAAAAAACAAAATCATTGTCCAGATATATATTTCTGAAAATCATGTTCATTTACACCACAGGGAGTGGTGGCGCAGAGGTTAGAGAAGGTGGGCCTGTGATCTGAAGATCGCCGGTTCAACTCCCGGTACAGACAACATCAAAATGTGGGTGGGAAAACTGAAGCGCCCACACCTGCCTCCACCCTCATTTACCCCACTCTGGTCCCTTGAGCAAGGCCACTAAACCCACCATCTGCTCCCAGATAGCAGCTCTCTGCTCCACACAGAGGACTGTGGTAGCTCGGTGTTCTGTGGTTGTGTCAGGAAGGACATCCAGCGTAAGAACAATCGCCAAGTCTTAGTGCGAGTTAGTTTGCGACCGTTGAAGAAGGGAGCATCCGAAACTAAAGAAATGTTCAGTCACGTGACCCACTAACTACCCTGACAGGTAAAACATTGTGGCGCACAACGTTGGTCTGGAGTGATGAATAATGCTGTCATGTGGAGGTGAAGGACCAGGAAATGTTGACAGCCAGTGCATTTGTCTTTGTAGCAAACATTTGATCAAAGGTAAGATTACAATTAATTTGTGTTTTTAGATTCAGGTGTTTACTTCTTTGTTTTTGTTGCTACGGTTTTATGCAATGAAGATTAGTGGATGAGCTTTTACATAATGAGATAGTGTTGAAAACATGCTAATGCTAACAGAAGCTAAGTGTTGTCAACATGAACTCAGGAGGCAAAAGAGGCTAAATACACCCTCTTGAATTCGGTCCATTTTTATTAAAGCTTTTACTCCAGAAGCTACAGAATACGTCCAATAAACTTCACCTGTTCTGAACTAGCACCTCTAAGGGTGTTGGTCAGGTCTACCATCAAGACGCACATATACATCATGAAAACCAAGGAACTGTTCCCACAGCTCAGAGACCACTGTGGAGAATTACATATCAGGGTTGGATTAAAAAAAGATCCTTCTAAACCCTGAGCATCCCACCAAGCTGCATTACATCCATCCATTATCTTTACCCGCTTCTTCCTTTTTGGGTCGCAGAGGTCACTAGTGCCCATGTCCAGTAATCACTGTGCGTGAGGTGGGGGACACACTGGACATGTCTCCAATCCATCACAGGAACACCTCCAGTCATTTAACAGTCAACAATGGTGTACCACAAGGCTCAGTCTTAGGACCCACCCTCTTCACAATCTACATAGGTAATGTAGGTCAGAGCATCCCTGATGCATCTATACATTTCTATACTGATGACACTGTTGTTTATTGTTGAGCTAAAACAGTTGATAAGGCTTTCCAGCTTTTGAAATCTGCACTTGACATCATCCAGTCTGATTTGTTCCACCTCGAACTTGTCCTAAATGCCGACAAAACCAAAGGAATGCTTTTTTCAAACAGGAAGTCAATCTCTGCAGTTCTTCCTCTGATTTCATCCTCAAATGGTGTCCCGATTGAGTTTGTTGATTCCTATAAATATTTGGTTATCTTGCTTGACTTGCATCTCTCGTTTAAGCTCCATGTGGAAAACTTGGTAAAGAAACTGATAGTTAAACTGGGTTTCTTTTTCAGAAACAAATCCTGTCTAACCCTGAATGCTAGGAAACACCTTGTAACTGTGACTTTCCTTCCCTCCATTGATTACGGTGACATTATTTACATGAACCCTCCTACAAGAACCCTGCAGATGTTGGATGCTGTCTATCATGGTGCACTAAGATTCATTACTGGCTGTGATTATTGTACCCACCACTGCACCCTGTATTCACTGGTTAACTGGACATTAACTTCACGCAGACTCTCTCACTGGTACATGTTCATCTTTAAATCACTTCTTGGTCTGCTGCCTTCATACATCTCCTCCTACATGTCTCTGCGTGAGTGCAGCTACAGCGTGCGCTCTCAGGACATTATTACCTGCAGTGTTCCCTCAGTGCGGACTGAACTTGGCAAAAGGTCCTTCTCCTACTCCGCTCCTGTTTCCTGGAATATCTTACAAAAAGATTTGAAGCTCTCGACCTTGACCTCTCTAAATGGCTTTAAAAATCTGTTGGGACTCCTGGCAAGAACCAATGCAGACATGTTCCTGTTTTTAGTTTTCTACATTCACCTTAGAATCTAGCTGCTTTTGTTACTCTTTTTGCCATCTTATTTGTAAAAAAAAAAAAAAAAACTGTATGCCTTTTTATAACTGTCCATTATTGTCGCTGTTGTCCATTGTTGTCATCATTCTTTGTTGAAATCAGGTCTCTTTTGTAAATGAGTCCTCGAGGCTTAATGGGATTAACCTGTTTAAATAAAGGTTGAATGAATGAACATAGAGACAAACAAAACAAACAACCATTCACTCTCTCACTCACACCTAGAGACAATTTAGAGTTACCAATCATTCTAACATGCATGTTTTTGGTCTGTGGGAGGAAACTGGAGTACCCGGAGAAAACTCATGCAGCATGGAGAGAACATGCAAACTCCACCCAGAAAGACCCCCGGACCAGGATTTGAACCAGCAACCTTCTCGCTGAGAGGCAGCAGCTCTACCAGTTGTGCCACCGTGCTGCCCACATCAGAACTTATTTATTAATATTTTTATGTTTAGATTTGTTTAAATAGACACCAGTATCAGAGTATCTTGAGAAATTGGTCATTTCTTTTGAAGCTTTAATGAAGTCTAGTTTAACTCCATCCTGTGTCAGAGAGTTGATAAAACCTGCCGCCTTCAGGTCTAGACCTGAATATGTTTTCAAGACCGGGCCTGAATCCGCCTTCAGGTCCGCACCTGAATCCACCTTCAGGTGCGGACCTGAATCCACCTGAGTGTCTGATGTGGAAACTGATGATCAGGGTGAGGAAACTTTCCAAACCTGGAGCTCGACTCAGAGGAGGAGCGGGCCAAGGTCCCCTAAGGCAGTATCATCATTCTAAGAACTGTTTTTGAAGCTGTGTCACCTGACCAAACACTTGGAAGAACTTTTACATTATATACTGACAAGAATATTTAGTGAGAACTAGTTCAGGTTGGTTCTGAACCAACCTGTTCCCTTTGGCTCTCTTCCAGCCAGGAGACTTATTTTACGCAGATGGAAGAGCTGCATCCCTCGTCATATGGACACTGGATAAGAGAAGTCATGTATCATGTTCATCTGGAAAAGATTACATTTACTCTTAAAGGTTCTGTTGAGAGATTCTGGGACACTTGGCAGCCATTCGTGTCTTATGGTGAGGATATGTTAAGTCCTGTGTGATGTGTTTGTGTGGCTGATCCGGTGTGGGAGGGGATTTTGTTGTATGTTTTTATTTTCTCTTTTTTTATGTGTGTTCTGAAAAAAATAAGTAAATTAAAATACTTTGATTTAAAAAGTAACCTGTTCCTGTGGTTTCTTAAATAAAGTGGTTTAATGTGGACTCTGAAGAAGACTACAGTCAGAACATTTTGCGTGGACTTAGGCTGTGTGTTGTCTCACATTTCAGAGTTCATCGTCCAGAAGGACGTGTCATCGGAGATCCAGGGGTTGCTGGGAAGGCAGCCTTGCATAATGGGGTCGTGGTTCTGGTACTGCTCGCTGTATTTCAGAAAGCTGCACAGATGCACACACAGCATTATTGTATTAGTGCAGCAGATCGTCACGCTAATGGCCCCTGAGTCCAGCGAGCCTCGGGAAGAATCCATTAGCTGCTCTTACAGAGAGAGCACTAAGCTCTGGATGTGGGGCTGAGGAACGTGATTCAGACAAACCCACTAGATTTTGTGTGTGTGTGAGAGAGAGAGAGCCTTCAGCACGTTGACACTTACCCTTCTAAGCAGATGGATGACTTAACCCTGTTCCTCCCGAGAGCCCGTCCGAAGGCCTCAATCTGTAAACGATGGCAGAATTGTAAAAACTCACAGCCACAGACCTCTGCAGGGCTCTCGGGATGAAGGCGTCTCTTACCTCTGCTTTGTAGAAGTCGCTGCTCTAGTTTTCTGTGAAGAACCAGACGGTTTGATCACACAACACTGAACAGCTTCTAAGGTCGTGTATGAAGTTACAATGCACCCCTCTGCTCTGCACTCCTCTCACAGCTCAGGAACCATTCAAATCTCATCAATCATGTATGCATTTGTTTAAAAATGACAAACTTACTGTACAGACAGCACACCGTCACAACACAACCTGCAGCTACACAAACATTCATGCAACACAAAAGAACAAGAGTGCAGCTCCTGTCACTTACTTTGTAATTTTCCCAGCAGCAAGAAGAAGAAACAGTAAAAGTGTTAGAAAATGTGCCGGAACGTTCAGATGCCCAGTGAAGATGTATGTACTTTTTTATTTATGTTTGTGTGTCTGTTAGAAAAATATCTCATGAATCACTGGACACATTTTAATGAAATGTGCAGAAAATCAATGGAATGACATCTACAACTGGTAAACTTTTGGATCCCAGTTCAGGCTGGATCTCTGTTCAACCAACAACAAATCTTATGTTTGATTTGCTAAACACAGTGAGTCTGTGTTTAGGTGCAGTTCAGAGACAACAAATGATTCTTAAACCACTCTGATGCTCAAACTGTGGATTTTACAGCCTGTGTGGAGTTACTTGTAGGTAAATCATGAAAATACTAAAATCATTTATTATTTTCCATCAAATGAAAGTCTTGGAAAAAACGGAAAAGTCACTGACCAGAGTGACCTGCAAACTGTGGATACTGGGTCGTTCCAGGCCCAGGTCCAGTACACTCTGCACCCCTGGCTGAAATAAAACACAGACACACAAACACAAAGGGAGGTTGTATGATTGTGGTGTGAGTCTCTCAAAATAGTAATATATGAAAATTATACATTTTATTATACATGGGGATTAAATTATATTTGCTTCAGTTCTGCTTTGGCAATCCTGTCTAGTGCCAGCCTCAAGGAATTTATTGCAGCGTGAAAGGATCTCCCATGGGCGAGAACATGATCCAGGTACACCAAGTACTCCTGCTGGGGGATTAATTCAACCTTTATTTATCCAGGTTAGTCTCATTGAGTCACGAGGACTCATTTACAAGAGATACCTGTTTTAGATAGACAACATATAAAGTACAGACATCAATAAACTAGAGTAAAAATACAATTAAAATAAAAGTAGTGTTATAAACCAATAAATCAAGGTGCCATAAATGCACTGAGGGCACACTGCAAGTAATGAAAGCCTGAGAGTGCACGCTGTAACTGCACTCACTGTGTGACATGTGGGAGGAGATGTAAGAAGGTAGCAGACCAAGGAGTGATTTATAAATGAAAATGAACCAGTATGAGATAGCTAGCACATTGTCCATAAGTCTTTAAAATGTCTTTAAAATGTCCTTGATGACTTACAGAACCCAAAACTTAGCACCTTGAACCGCCAGTGCCCCTGACAGGTCCAGAAGGCCACCTCTGGTTTTGACTCAGTGGAGAGAGGAACCTGCCAATACCCACTGCACAGATCAAGTGAGAAAAACCATGAGGACCATGCCATTAGGTCCAAGGTCTCATCAACCTGAGGAAACAGGTAACAGTCCTTCCTTGTCACCTTGTTCAGTGGCCTGTTAATAATAATAATAATAATAATAATAATAATAATAATAATAATAATA